TCCCACTTTGTTGATGTATATACTTTAATCGTGGAAAAGGATTTCTTATTTCATGTAACCAATAAAAAAATTTCGGTCTACAAAGTGTAATTATTATGACCGGTAAAACAGGACGGTCCGGCATCACCTTAAGAGTAATGTACGTTTAATGTAATACAAAAATTATATAAATATTGATTAATTTATAAAGCTATAATTTCTTGTTTCAGAAAAAGAAAATAGCGAAAAATTTAGAATTAGAATTTTATGCGATAAGAAATTAATGATTTATTTTATGATGTACACATTATATGAAGCTAAAATGTCAATTTATGAATTATGTTAACAATTATTACTTCTTGATGTAGCACGCTGCTTGAGAAAAGATGAAACACTAAAGAAGCAAGGAGAAAATATTGAGACCTCTGTATAATTTGTCACTAGTAACCTCTTTATCCTCTAATTTAATGGAAAAGGTAAGCGAATAGGAGCCTTTTTGTAAATACCTTTCAAGGAAAAATATATATTTACATCTTTATTTAACTCTGATTTTGTTATTGACTTCTTTTCCAGGTGAATTAATGTGAACTATCTCTTTCAGAATATTTTAGAGAAAGAAAAGCTAGATTCGGTGGAGAACAGTAGAGCGACAAAATATTTCAGAATAAAGTTAAGAATATTAAATGTGATACTTGGTGTTATATAAAAATATGACTATATCATTCTTAATGTTTTTTTCAATTTCAACAAAACCTTAATTAAAAAGCAAATAAAAAGTACTATCTTTTGTAAATACCATTATTACTTCAGTATTAAACTGTTAACAATTTGTTTGCTTTTTTATATGATTTTATATTGAACTCAAGTTTTTTTATAAGAATAAGTATAGATTAGAGAAATATAACTATATTTACTAATAAATTCTAATCTGATCCTCCTAATGTTTTAACTTAATAAACTCACATATGTGCAATAAGTCTTTAGTGACATGTTGCATATATACGATTTGATGAGAACAGAAATATTAAAATGAAAATCATATTACAGATTAATAATTTTATTAATACAATAAATTCATTTATATTTTTCTAAGTACGATATTAAATCATAAAAAATAAGTAAATTAAGTATTAACAGTTTAAAACTGAAGCAATAATAGTATTTGCAATGTATATTGCGTTTGCATTTTATGTATATCAGCATTATCTAAGAGTGATATATCTTCATAGGCAATTATCTGGAGAGAGTAATGATAGTGAAAGAGAAATGTGCCACCATCTGCCACTTTTGGACAATAGTGATGTACATAACAGTTTTGTTGATAACGTGAATAACATAAATTAATAATACTAATCTACATGGTCATTTTTGTATGTAACACACTAAGTATCATTTAACAATCTTAATTTTATTCTGAAATATTCTATCGTTTAGCTTTTTCATCGTATTTCATCGAAGTTGGTTTTTCTTCCACCAGTTTGTTCTTTTTCTTCCCTCTTTTCTTTTAGTCGATCAGTCAATCTTCCTAACATCATAAAATCATCATAAAGTAAACATTATAAAATAAATTTGTAATTTCTTACCGCAGACGTTTTCAGGGATATGTCTAATTAGTTATTTTGATAGTAATAGTTTGATAACCATTGATAGCACGATATCAAATCGTTTTACATTTTTCTTTTCATTTTTTTTCATTCGTTCTATTTTGTAATTGCATTCGAGGATAATGCAGAATCTATAAAATATAAAAGTATCTTTCATAAAAAGATATCTCCTTGAATAAGTTAATAAATTAAAATATAGAAATAAGTAAAAGTGAGAACAAATCTGTATAAATTATCAATTGAAATTTCTCAACCAATTCATTTTTATTGCCCGCACTAAAAAATACTTTCCTTTCGCTCCCAAAGTGACTGGCGATGAGAATAGGTAACGCGTCTCGCTTCGAAAAATTGCAATCTCATGTACAACATTTTAATCGCTTATTAATCTTTTACTTAAGGATATTTTTAAAAACATTCTGTGTATATATCACAGGTTATGTTTATCACGACGCATGCTGATATCGCTTTATTTCGTTGATATGACAGATTTCCCAATCTTAAATACACAAAAATTCGTTGATAAATGTTTAGTTTCTCCCGCTCATCTTAGATTTTAGTAAAATGGATTTATTTAATGTCTTCCATCTAATTTCTATCATGTTCTTTAAATGCATAGCTTTTAATGGTGTATTATTTTTTTGATAGAGTACCGAGTAATGATTTTTATTTTTCTAACACTTGTTTTTATACGAAAAAACATTAAAGGAATATATTTTTATCAAAATTTAAGATGAGAAATTAAATATTTATCAACAAATTTTTAGTGTATTTATGGTTAGGAAATCTGTCATATCAGCGAAATACAGCTATATTAGGGCTACGTTCGGAAACACCACCTGTTTGCACATGAGCGTTATTCTATCTTTGTTATTTACTAAAAGTTGAACAAAGATAGAACAAAGCTCGTGTGCACACGGATGATTTTTTCGAACGCAGCCCAGCATGTGTCATGATAGATATAACCTTAAGCGAGTATCAGACTACGTATTGAAGATTGAAATTTGACCAATTAAGATAAAAGGAACTAAAATTTCCTTGTCCTGATTGGGCAATCTATCAAATTTCAATCTCAATGCATAGTCTGATACGGGTTTTAGAACATATATAAATGGAAAAAGAATAGCAAGCTGAAATGTGTCCGAAGGAAGTAAGAAAAAAAATCGTAGTTGCTTCTCTCTTATGAGTAACTGTTCGAAAGTGCGCATGCGCGCCATTTGTTGACGCATACAAGCATCGTATCCATCGTATCTGTAGATATACATGTTCAACATGTGACCTTAGAACATATATAAATGGAAGGGGAATGTCTTTATTTCCCGATAGAAAAACATGTCAGCATAAGACCGTCTGGACCAATGAGCATCGAAATAAAATCGCCATATTGATTTACATAGCATGCTCATTAGTCCAGACGGTCTTATGCTATGCATATGCAGCTATGTCAATTTGTGTGTGATAAGACCATCACACACAAAATTCCGTAAGGACGTAAGACGTAAGCGTAAGAAAATTGACCAATCCCAATCGAGTATTGGGAGTATTTCCGTCAAAGTGGAGGGATTACGGAGAGCTAAATACTCGATTGGGATTGGTCAATTTTCTTACGCTTACGTCTTACGTCCTTACGGAATTTTGTGTGTGATAGCCTATAGCCTTTATTTTTCAGTGGCCAAACCGGCCAAGCAAACGCACGCGCATTTTTTAATAGTTACAAGAGAGAGGCAACTATGATTTTCTTTCTCACTTCCTCCGGACATGTTTTTCTTTCGAGAACAAGAGACATTCCTCTTACATTTACATATGTTCTAAGGATATAACCCGCGATGTATATACAAAGGCTAGTACATAGTATATCTAGACCGACCGTTTAGCTTTATTTAAGTAGTGGGGGTAAAGGTACACGTAGAAAAGAATACACTCTGTTCCGTGTAAGGTTATATATAAGAAGGTTAAGTCAGGAGCATCCCGAAACTCATAATGCATTGCAAAGAATCGACGTGTGCGCAGTCGCTATTGAAAAGAGATGCTAAATATTGAAAAGAGATGCTAAAGGCCAATTTCACCAAGCTCGGTTAAATTAACCGACGGTTAAAATTAGCAAAGATGTTAAATATTGAAAAGAGATGCCAAATAAGGTAGACTTGTTATTGGCTCTCACGGCCTTTCGCAATGCATCATGGGTTCTTGGATGACATACACAGTTTCAATATATGACTTAACCTTCTTTTATATAACCTTAGTTCCGTGCTCCTTGCGTTCTCTTTCGCTATGCTACGCGCAAGCGAGAGAGAACGCAAGGAGCACGAAACAGAGTGTGTTCTTTTCAACGTGCACTTCGCCTTCACTCCTCAACAGTCGATATACTATGTCTATGGGCCAGTATTCATAATCCGTTTTTATATTTAAGATCATCTCAGGTCTTAAGGCCCTTGCACAATGCTAGGTAATAGCGATAGCGATAGGCTATAGCGATAGCGATAAAAACAGAAACAGAAAATTCCAACACTGGGGAATGCATATGCAAATGCAAAATGTTATTCTCTGCAGAGAATGTTATTCTTAACTGTAGTCTTAATTAGTGTTAGATCATTTTCTTTTCTGCCGCAAAAAACTGCAATATGATATACATACCTTTTTCATTTTCAGTGCACACATTGTATTAAATAATGAACACTGCAATAAAGTCTTGATGAAATTGATACAGCGGCAGTTGGTTTATGTACTGTGCACGCGCAAACTACGTTCAAACTACGGTTTAAACTTGTATGATTAACCTATTCCTATTTACATAATTGTTTATGTTACTCATGATACGATGATATGTTACATTTTCCACATTTATGTATCTCATATTGAAGAATAACACTGTTAAGTAATAATAAATGCTATCATGTTTTTTTTTTAATTCATGTGATATTAAATTCATGTGATGTGTATAGCAATATTTGTAAGTTCTCATTAATATATAAGATAAACGGACCGTTTATATAAGTGTCCTCAAAAACACTGTTATATATAACTTATATGTATATACATTTGTGAAGTCCTCGAAAACAACAATTTGTTGTACATTCGATAAAAATCAAGGTAACGAAAAAACGATCTGTAATGTATATATCAGAAACCGATGCTGCTTGCATGTATGCAAAAAAACCATTAAGTTTTTCAATGTCCTCAAAAACGTCAATTGACAAATATATATATATATATATATATATATATATATATATATATATATATATATATATATATATATATATATATATATATATATATATATATATATATATATATATATATATATATATATATATATATATATATATATATATATATATATATATATATATATATTTGTCAATTGACGTTTTTGAGGACATTGAAAAACTTAATGGTTTTTTTGCATACATGCAAGCAGCATCGGTTTCTGATATATACATTACAGATCGTTTTTTCGTTACCTTGATTTTTATCGAATGTACAACAAATTGTTGTTTTCGAGGACTTCACAAATGTATATACATATAATTTATATATAACAGTGTTTTTGAGGACACTTATATAAACGGTCCGTTTATCTTATATATTAATGAGAACTTACAAATATTGCTATACACATCACATGAATTTAATATCACATGAATTAAAAAAAAAACATGATAGCATTTATTATTACTTAACAGTGTTATTCTTCAATATGAGATACATAAATGTGGAAAATGTAACATATCATCGTATCATGAGTAACATAAACAATTATGTAAATAGGAATAGGTTAATCATACAAGTTTAAACCGTAGTTTGAACGTAGTTTGCGCGTGCACAGTACATAAACCAACTGCCGCTGTATCAATTTCATCAAGACTTTATTGCAGTGTTCATTATTTAATACAATGTGTGCACTGAAAATGAAAAAGGTATGTATATCATATTGCAGTTTTTTGCGGCAGAAAAGAAAATGATCTAACACTAATTAAGACTACAGTTAAGAATAACATTCTCTGCAGAGAATAACATTTTGCATTTGCATATGCATTCCCCAGTGTTGGAATTTTCTGTTTCTGTTTTTATCGCTATCGCTATAGCCTATCGCTATCGCTATTACCTAGCATTGTGCAAGGGCCTTAAGACCTGAGATGATCTTAAATATAAAAACGGATTATGAATACTGGCCCATAGACATAGTATATCGACTGTTGAGGAGTGAAGGCGAAGTGCACGTTGAAAAGAACACACTCTGTTTCGTGCTCCTTGCGTTCTCTCTCGCTTGCGCGTAGCATAGCGAAAGAGAACGCAAGGAGCACGGAACTAAGGTTATATAAAAGAAGGTTAAGTCATATATTGAAACTGTGTATGTCATCCAAGAACCCATGATGCATTGCGAAAGGCCGTGAGAGCCAATAACAAGTCTACCTTATTTGGCATCTCTTTTCAATATTTAACATCTTTTTTCAATAGCGACTGCGCACACGTCGATTCTTTGCAATGCATTATAGGTTTCGGGATGCTTCTGACTTAACCTTCTTTTATATAACCTTAGTCAGTCCGGTATGTTTTCTCTCTCGCACATATAGAGAGAAAGGGAAAGATGGCCCGCTTCTATCCATTCGGCAAACCTCGTCCCCCTCCGATGCGTATAGACTGCACGCTCTTATGGGCGAGCTGGGTATTGATCATGTAACTTTTTCCTTAGGGCAAAAACGTGAGAAGTGAAAAATATTAGCATTAAAATCAATGGCAATATTTTTCACTTTTCACGTTTCCGCCCTAGGAAAAAAGTTACATGATCGATACTTAGAAGCGAGAATCCGTATGAATTTTATTCTTGTAAAATACATTGAAATTTTTTGAATGCGATCATCCTTGGTCGATAATATAGATTAGTTAAATATACTAAAAACTCTCTTTTTTTTATTTGTGGATTAATAAATAACTGTAAATTTTGATCAATTGTTGTAAAGTCCATTTTTGCTGAAAAAAGTTTTTGTTGTATTTTACTAATCTACACATATTATCAAACACAAATGGTCACATTCAAAAAAATTTATTTATTTCCATATATTATATAGGCAGGTGTGAAAAATTACCGAGACCCTAAAATATCTCGAAGGGATAATAGGTTTTGGATAATAGATTCTTGAAAATGTTAAATACAAAACCTATAAATTTCGAATTGAGATTAATTTAAAAATCTTGGTATAGGACCAAGTAAATTTTGTCTCTCTGCACATAATCAATTTCATAGAAAACTTATTTTTCTATGAAACTGACGCACTACCATCCGCGTCTGGCTCTTACTAGCCCGCGAATATTTGAAATTTGTGATGTCACTCGAGAGCCTTAATTTCTTAAAATTCTTAAACATAAAAGTTTTTGGGTATCAAAAGAGCTATCTGACTGATCAAATAGATTTTGGACTCGGAGTCTAGTTTGGGCCTACTAAAGCCCAAGTCAATTTTTTCAAGTAAGTAGACCCATATTTTTTATCATGGATTTAGATTCAGGACACGTTTTTACATCTGATATAGCGGATAAACATTTGGGTCCGAGGCCCTTTTTAAACCCAATGAGGTCCAAATCAAGTTTTTCAATAAAAATTCCTATTTTTCGTCACGTGTCGATGTCTAGAACGGTTTTCTGCTTAAAAGAAAGCAAAATTAGATTTTGGATCGCAAGATAGACCAGATCTTTGGCCCAATGAGGCCTCGAACCCAAATGTCGGCTAGTCAGATGTAAAAACGTGTCCTGAACCTAAATCCGTGATAAAAAATATGTGGGTCCCTACTTGAAAAAATCGACTTGGGCCTTACTGGGCCCAAAATCTAGTTGACCAGTTAGATAGTTCTTTCGATACACAAAAACTTTTACATTTAACATTTTCCTCCAAAACCTATTCCCTTCGAGATATTTTAGGGTCCCAGTATTTTTTCCGCACCCATATCGCAAGAATAAAATTCATATGATTTCTCGCTTCTAATATCATAATTTAATACGCTTATATGATTGCAGTGGACATATAAGTCTTAATAGGTAGCTGTAAATTTCAATCTTACAATTAATCATAAGACACTTATTCTCTCGTTAGAAACATAGAATATATATAGACTAAATTACACAGCCATTTATTAATCCTCACATGATAGATACAGACTCTGCTGAATGCCAAAGGATAAATCGCCATTTTATCCTTTTCCTCCGTTGTCCCTTTCTAACTACCTAAAAACCGTAATTTATATAAATGCCAAGGAAATGTGAAACGAGTGAATTAATAAACGGTTTTCATTCAGCAATAATGCATCCAAATAATTCCGGTATTTATTAGGCAGAAGAATTAATGAAAAAAAAAGTTATAAGAAAAATCTTCAACATATTTTACTGTTTTTATCGAATACGACCAGGAATGTACGAAAAGAAATTAATTTACTTCAATGAATAGCGCAAGAAAATATTTTTTGTATAATCTTTCGCTGTAGATGTCATAATTCAATATAACTATATTTCAAAATCTTACGAATTAACGATATCCTCCGAGATGCGACAATATGGTGTCTATATCAATGAAGTGCCCTCTCGATAAAGTAGTATCGAAGAAAGAGGGACTTAGGCACGATAGATCGCATGTTGTCGGAGTTGCGAGAAACAGTGACAGAATCTTCTTGGCTCTTATTCAACGCTGTCTACAACTGCGCTGTCGTCTAGAGTGTGAAGCCAATTGAAGATCATCATATTTCTCTCGTACTTAGACAACTGATTTCCACGTTCTCTTTCAACATCCCGGATTGTCAATGCGTGATTTCGCTCCTTCCGCCCAATCAAAGAAGTATTAGGAACCCGCGCGGTTGTTCCGGGCACCAATAAAGTAGTTCCATGAGAAGTCTGCGCCGCGGTAGCTGCTGCTTCTAATTGGTCTAAATTAAATTCACTCTGCGAGAGACGTTCCAAAGCGCGGTACGTAGTAAGTAATCTAACGTAATGCAAATAAAACATCATTAATGCATTATATTGAAAAAAGAAACTTCAACAGCGTAATTTAATAATTCTTCAATAAACGCTACTACTAACCTTCGTCGTATATAATTTTGCCGGACTTTTTTGTTGACGGACCTAACTAGATCTGCTCCTGTAAAGGGTACAGGCGGTGGCGGCGGCGCCGGTGGCTGCGGCGGCAGTTGCGGTACTGATTGAGCGTTAGAGGAAGATTGTTGCTGTGCCTGCTGTGGTTCCGATAGCTGCTGTTGTTGTTCTTGCGCGGCTCCACCATGTGGGCTGGGAAGCTGAGATGTACTGGCTACAGGTTCGCCTACGGCGACCCAGGTGCTGCAGGACCTCGAAGCATGATCAAGTCTAGCATGCTCCAGCAGCAGGGTATTGCGCTGGACGGTGTCAAGAGCCAGAGCGGATACTGCTGTTCGAAGTATTATTATATTACAAAACTATGAAATATTGTTTAATATTAATAATTGAATTTGATGTGCATGTTTATCTATATCGAAAATTTTTATTTAACTAATATATCATGAAAAATGTTACTGCGCGCAACATTTCAAAACTATACAAAATGATAGTTCATACTTCAGCCGCTAATTCGTTTATTTACCACTATGCAACGCGCGATGCGCATTATCTCGCATTTGAGTTTCAGTCATGAAAATTATATAAAGCTTTGAGCAACTGGCAGGAGATTAAAAATGCATTTATTTTTACCAGTTTAATTTCTGATGCAATTCCAATATAGGGAATTCAGACATTAGACTGATAATTTTAAAAGTATGAATAAATGTCCGAAAAAGTTAAAATCATCCGTTTATATATATATATATGTATATATATGTTTATGTTGCGTAGTTTAGCTGGACCATTTTTTGATTGAAACGTATTTTAGCGGTACCATTGGCTTTTAGCTGGACGGTCTTTGTAATACTTTTCATGTTCCGTATATTATCAGGACCGTCCAGCTAAAACCAATGTGAATGTATCGTATTTTATCGGGACCACATAAAATTTCATGTCCTTCTAATATACGGTCCATGTATTTTAGTAATTCTTTTGATGCAACGTATTTTATCGGGACCATAGCACAAACACTAGCGTAATAACTTCTATACATAAAGAATATACGTTCGCAATGGACGAAATGCAAAAGTGTATAATAGATGCAAAGATAAGTACTGCGTCCTTAATAATAGCATATCTACTCTGCACAATGATGTATTTTATATCAAATTTAGTAAATTATATTATATTATCATCATAGAAACATTATTAACCGTTTGAAAGAAATAGATATTGCAAAAAGAAAGATCTTCTTCAATAAATAAAATAATTGCTTTAGTAAATGTTGATTATTTTATAATATTTCATAAAATATAGCGAAGACAAAAATTGATTATTCTTCTTACGGTCATGGAATTATCGATTGTGATTGGTTAATTTTCTTACTACTTATGTTTCTCTATGTGCCAAAATCGATTAATTCTAATAGCGCAGAATACGGGTAATATAGTGCTTCTTGAATCACCTTTATATAATTTGCAATTGGCAAGACATAAGCGTTCAATGGAAAGTGAGAATATTTTAACGCGCCAAGACGCGCGGTTAATGCCAGGCCAGTTTTGTTACCGACTATACCACCTATCAGATTATTGCGTAATTTGCAGGATTGGCAACACGAACATCACTCTCTTTTGTAAATACTTCAAGATATTTGCTATCAGCCGGTTTCAAAGTGTTTAATGTGTGAAAATGCGTTGCCGCGCAAATCGTGACCTTAAGAATAAAATAGGCCAGAATAGCCGCCTCGGTAATGCAAGTATTTTTATTGATAATATGTAATTGCATAAATTCAATAGCATGAGTTATATTTATCATCGTTTTGAATAATTATAAAGTCATTAGCGGTTCCCGAGATATAAGCAGTAAATGCAAACGGAGTCGATGAATCTGGTGGTTACGTCTCAACTTATACCCGCAATCTCATATTAATAATCGGCTATATATATCTTTAGAGGCAATTATATAAATTAATAAATATTTTAATATTTCCAGTATCTAGTCGCAATCGATGGACACAAAATGAAAAACGTATCGTTATCGATGCTTTTGGTCATTACATAGATTCCACTGACAACAAATTACCCACATTCAATGAAATTGGAAAACTTATTAAAAAGCATCCTGACTTATTAGGACAACGAAGCGTGCCTATGATTAAAACGTGGATACATAACCAAAAACGTATTAAGATGAAGGAAATGAGAATTTAAATATAACTATTGATTATGTAGTGATTATTAATTATGTAGTTAATACCGAATTTATACGTTATAGTTTATATAAGATTTATTGTTTAATGATACGAAAAAACAATTAGAAAAGCTATTAGAGACTATTAGAAAGACTATTAGACTATTACAAAAGATAAAGACTGTTAGAAAAAGTACAACATATAGTGCAATAAAAAACAATATACGTATGTATACGTATACATAGATATATTTATAAAAATAATCAGTTTAAGAAGTTTATTTTTTTTACTAAGATACAAGACTGGTAGAAAAAGCACGTAGTGCAATAAAAACCAATATACGTATATAAAGTATACATATTATATATTTATATATATAAAAATAATCAGTTTGGAAGAAAGTTTATTTTTTTATTTAAAGATGTAAAGATACAAAGTTAAAACATAACAGTACAAATGTAATAGACACAATTAATGTTACTGATAAAAATATGTTTTTTTTTTTATTAGATACATATATCCATGATGAGTTTGTAAGAAAGTTCGTTTTCTATTACTTAAGAAACGTAAAGACATGAAATTAGAATAGAATAGTACATATGTAACAGTGCAATAATACTTATGTGCAACTTATTTTACTCATCATAAATATACCTTTTTAAAGATATTATTCTGTTCTAATTTTTCTATTATTTCCGTTCTTATTTTTAAAATAGATATACACATATATATAAGAATATACATATATAAAGAATATCTTTGATAATAAGTATCGAATATAAAATAGATATATGTAGATTAGGTCCTGAACAAAAGTCTTCTATCATTTTGTAAGCAAACACGGAAAAATTTCAGTTATTAATTATTGAAAATCACCATGTATAAAAGCTTCTGTAATTAATAATTCAGAAATTTCCGTGGTTATTTGCAAAATGGTAGAAAACTTTTCGTTAGGGGTAATTCAATCTATAAATGTATATTTTTTATTTGATACTTATTGTCATAACAATGCGATAGTAACAATGTTATTTTGTATTGTGTTCTTTTGTATTTGCTGGTAACTGTTTATTAAATGTATAATTATATATTTTATATTTGAAGAAATATAGACAAGGAAAGAACAAACAATTACTCTTCAATACGAATATACAATATACATATAGTGAAAGAGAAGAAGAGAGAGAAAAAAGATAAAGTATCATGAGATAAGAAAAAACGAATTGAATCAAAATTTCAATATATCACCACATACACCTATTGTGTTGAATCATACCTATATATCAGAACATATCATTCATTATAAACGCCGCGTTACTATATCAAGCCCCAACTATTATAAATCTGCTTGAGGTATATTTTATCAGCAAAGACAGTGCTTTAGCATACCATACCAAAATACAGCATATTGTATATTATTTATATCACAAAAAAAATCTTATAACATTTTGTTCTTAACCGATTTATCAATTTTACAATTACATTGCAGTGTACATATAAATACATTATTTTTTAAAGAAATAATCTTGTACCAATATGATAATTATATTGGAATAATTATACTTGAAGATTTAGATGTATGTACTGTTATCACAAGATTCTATTAGCGGAGACTATAATATTGAACTCTCGCTTAAAAGATTCTGTTTTGTAAATGGATTCCCTCCTGACATTCGATGCAAGCTGGATTCCTGGTTTGCAAATTAATACCGATCAATTACTTCCACCTGCTTAAAATTAAAATTAATGTGATAAAATATTAGTAGGCAACTTGATATTAAGATCTCGTTCGTACAGCAATCTTACCAGTATAGATGTCGTTATCACAATTCGATCTTCCTCTAGGTTGAATGAACAGTAAGGAAACACAATATTTAAAAAGATTACCTTATATTGACATTGCACAATAGTTTTTCCTCACGCTATCGAATAAATCTCTCTCTTAAGCCAGCAACGGTCGGGTAAGCACGTGTCTTTCTTTCTCTCCGCTAATAGCCTAAATCATAACAGGTTATGGGCCCAGAACGGTTACCCATTTTAAATAATGTATATTGGAATCGAGTCCGTTGAAGATTAGAGTAAGAGAGCGTATTATCAGGAGATAATAAGGGACTATAAGTGCCAAAAGTGAAAACGTGCAGCAAGTAATAATTCGCGAGAAGCAAGTCAGCCTAGCGACACGTGGCAACGGTCATGGCAGAGGTCGACATGCAAAATTTAGGCCAAATCGAAAAATTGATAGGCCGGGAAAATTACGGGACGTGGAAATTCGCTATGCGAGCGTGCTTAGAAGCCGAAGACTTGTGGGGATGCTTACTTGGAGAAGAGGCGTATCTGATGGATACAAAGAAGATGACCAAGGCGAGGGCGAAGATCGTCCTAGCAGTACAAAAACAAAATTACGGGCACATACAGAGCGCGGAAACACCGAGACAAGCATGGGAGAACCTTAGGAATGCGTTCGAAGACAAAGGGCTCACACGGAAAGTAGGTCTTTTACGCACTCTAACCTCAACCAAGTTACAAGATTGCAATTCCGTAGAAGAGTACGTAAACACAATAACAACGATGGCTCATACTTTGAAAGAACTCGAATTCGTGGTTAAAGAAGAAATAATAGGAGCCTTGCTACTATCCGGACTCCCCGATGAATACAAGCCCATGATTATGGGCCTAGAAAGTTCCGGTACAATCGTAACAGCAGACGCAATGAAGGTAAAACTACTCCAAGAGGTCAAATACGACGGAAAACAAACAGGAGTGGCGGCATTATACTCGAAGGCGAGAGCAACACGTAAAAAGGGACAAGAAAGGACAAAAAGCAGGTGCTACGCATGCGGCAAGATCGGACATTTCGCAGCCAAGTGTCGTAACAAAATGAAAGACGAGACCAAGGAAAAGGATGGCTCGACACACAAGGTATTCGCGACATTCGCAAACCGAGCAAGTGCGAAAAGTGGTGAGTGGTATCTCGATTCCGGAGCATCGACGCACATGACAGGCTGGGCGGGCTGTCTGGAAGAAACGAAGAAGTGCAACAAAACCATAACAGCAGCAAATCACGGCCAATTGAAAGCAGTAGCGCGTGGAACAGCAGAACTCGAGGTCGCCGTGAACGGAACCGAAAAGATCATTCGCGTTGAAAATGTATTATATGTTCCAGGATTAGCCGCGAACTTGCTCTCTGTAGATACAATAGTACAGAGAGACTACAAGGTCAACATCACCAAAAACGGGTGCACCATACATGATGCAGACGGAGACCTGGTCGCAGTAGCCAAACCGCACGGAGGAGTGTACAGGCTAGGCAAAGTTCCGGAGACAGCCTTTGCTACGATAGAGACGAAACAGCGAGAAGGCGTCTGGCATAGACGCATGGG